TGTATCACAAAATCACAAGTTGAACACTTCCCAGGCGTCTAGGACTGTGTGATGTATTTTCGAATGATGTGCGCAGATCCAAGAAAGGTGGCCTTTTGCAGTTGACAGATCGTGATTTTTGTCAATGTTTATTGTTTCCAAATTCCAGCTGAGATCTTTTGGCATGGCACCAAGTGCGCCAATGATCACTGGGACCACCTGTACTGGTTTATGCCAGAGCCTTTGCAGTTTGATTTTGAGGTCTTGATAGCGGCTGAGTGTTTCCTGTTGTTTTTGCTCAATGTGACTGTCACCTGGTATGGCGACATCAATAATCCAGACTTTTTTCTTTTCCACAATCGTGATGTCTGGTGTATTGTGTTCCAAAACTTTGTCAGTCTGGATTTGAAAGTCCCACAGTATTTTTGCATGTTCATTTTCCACGACCTTTGCGGGTTTATGATCCCACCAATTCTTTACAATTGTTGTTGTTGTTGTTGTTGTTGTTGTTATTACTATGAAGTATGTTGTCCAAGACATTTTTTTTTTTTGGTTTCTGTCTGTTTTGCCCTCCCTGTTTGCAATGTAAGAATAACAATATTATATTACTGTTACTATTGAAAATACTCAAATTCTCATTAATAATGTCACACTTGATCCTTATAGAAATATTTTCTGTTGTGTGGAGATATTAACTGCGGTGTGATATTTGTGTTGTGGAAGTCAACACACAAATATCAAGCCATATTTTTCACACCATAAGAAAAGTCTTATTTTTCAAACAACTACAGATTTTTGAACAAAGTACATTTTAATTAAGCAAACAGAAATAATAATAGTGTGATAAATAATCATAAATGAGAAGCTCCATTGAAATTCTGGCAAGAAAAGTGGTGCTTAGTTCTGGGAGTTTCAAACTCCCATAAAGGTCACAGATATACTTTTCAAATGACATATAAAATGAACAATTCAGTGCTCCTTGTTAGGGAGCATTTTATGAAAGTAAGAGGAATTCCTTCTGGTGTGTTTCTGAATTTAGTGCTGCTTTCCTTCTTTTGTGGAATGACTTTATTGGATTTTATTTGGTGATAAATTGGTTGCAAGCATGGTAATACATCACAGGTTCTGCCTAGACAGAATAAAATTGTAGTTTGAAGTAAATTGCTCCCAGTGGTAAAACAGGCCAAAAGCGAAATTTGGTTTTAAAGCAGAGCTGCTTGGATTTAAAGTTATAAACTGACCTTTATTATGTCCCAAAGACATTGTCAGAGCAAATCAGTACTTCTAAATAACAACTGTCAATTGCCTAAATTTGGTACCTACTGATCCTCCACTGGTTATAGCCAAACATGCACCTTATCCTTATTTTCTCTTCTCAATTGTAGCTGGAATTACGTTTAGTCCAGTTGTTAATTCTAAATTGAGTAAACCCATTGAATAAATGGGGTTTACATAAAAGTAAATCAGCAGTTGTCTTATTGGGTCAACTCTAGTGATCTAAATTTAGGGCTGTGCTTCAAATTTAGATTTTTTTTTTACTATGTTTGTCAAGTGTTTTTTTTAAAAAAAAAAACCCAATAATACTCAGGACCTATTTTCTGATTTAGAAATTTTAGTTTCTCTATTAGTTGTGAATACTTTCTTTAACATCAAGAATTAACACAACAGTGATGAAGAGTGACTAGGAAAAGTCACATAAGCTGTCTTAATGTGTAATATTGCTTTTTATTCTTGCATATCTTCCATAAATATTTTGATATCAAGACGTATCTGCAGTAGAGCGTACACTTTGCATGTAGGAGCCAGGGAACCCCAATTTAGTCTGTGGCATCTTCAGTTTTAATGATCAGATATCTAAAAAGCCCACTCATCTCTGTTCCCAGCTTACATAAATCATACAATTTAAGGGAGATGGATAAACAGGGGGAGGGAAAAAGGATGAGAGTGGGCGATAAAAAGCAGAATGCGTAACTTAGGAGGAAAGAGAGGAAGAAGCTAGGAATGAAAGGTACATGTTTTTTGAGGAAAAAAATCACTTAATGACCAAGTGAACAGCACTGTATGCAAGGGTATAAAGAGATTCATTGCAGCACAACCCAAATAATAATGTACAAGATTGTATACCATACCATCATATAAATTGTTATACTATAATACGATATGTGATATATACAAAATATATAATATTGTAATCATGGCATACAGTAGAAATCAGGCCGGAATATACAGGCTTGTGCAGGTGGGTCAGGTGGGTATTGATCTCCTGCAAAACAAACAAATCACTCACTTTGAGACTCACTTTTTCTTTTTTCTTTCCCAAAGCCCCATCTTCTATTCCACAAATCCAACTCCTGTGCTCTGACCTAAACTTCAGAAACTCTTTCCCTTTCTTCCTTACCCTACCATCTTTCCAAAGAAGTCACACAGATTAACCAATTTGAAAAAAGAGCACCCTGATGCATTTCCTCCCATACTGGTATTTCTTCTCCTGAGGTAGCAGGTCATACTGGTTTTTTGTTTTTATTTTTACTAAATCTGATAGAAGGAGGAACACTTCCTCTAACAAATTCTAACAACCTAATTAATGAGGTAATATTTTTGGCATTAATAAGACATCGATTGAATTTGTGGAAACAGCAAGGATGTTCTAGTGAATGATAATGTAAAAATCTAAATTCTAAATAGGTTGTATGTAATTTCATTTACACAAAATTTGTTTTATATTTTTATTTTTAGTGTGCTTTATCAGGTTTTTGTATTTTATGATTTTTTTTGCTATTTTGATTATTAAGTTATAGTTGGTTGTTTTATATTGTCTAATGTGCCTTGTATTGTTGTAAATTGTTTGTATGGTTTTCCTTTTGGCACTGAATGTTTGCCATATTCATTGGAAACCATCCTGAGTCCCTTCAGGGAGATAGGGCAGTGTATAAGTAAAGTTTTATTATAATTTTATTATTATTTGTGATGTGGATTTTATGTCACATGGGGTCATGCCTATGTAATTGTGAAGCCAACAGGAAATTGAAAGTTATCTGAGAAGGCCAAGAGCTTGAAAACTGCTCCTAAATATCTTGGCGTCACCTTAGATCGAACACTAACATTTGGGAAACAATAACATCCTGCCAAAACTTACTGGTAGTGCATGGGGTGCAGACCCAAAATTAATAAGAACATCAGCCCTAGCCTTTTCCTACCCGATTGCTGAGTATGCCTGCCCTGTCTGGCATAATCTGCCATGCAAAGCAGTCTTAAACTTACACCTGCTGATATTTATTTATTTATTTATTTATTTATTTATTATTTGCTACATTTGTATACCGGTCCTCTTAGCCCACAGGTGACTTGGGGCGGTTCACAAGGCCACAATTCAATGCCAACAACATCATAAAAACTTTAAAACATTTAAAAGCAATAACATATCAATTAAGACCATAACAATAGTAAAAAACAAGTCATTTCATCTTCTAAATGAAAAGGTCATCCAAACTCATAATCCAATTGTTCCATAATCCAATGTCTTTTACACTGCCTTTTCAAACGCGTGCTCGAACAGCTAGGTTTTTATTTTTCTTTGGAAAATCAAAAGGGAGGGAGCCGATCTAATGTCCCTGGGAAGGGCATTCCATAGCCGAGGGGCCACCACTGAGAAGGCCCTATCTCTTGTCCCTGCCAAACGTATTTGTGGTGCAGATGAAGTCGAGAGCAGGGCCTCCCCAGATGGTCTTAATGTCCTAGATGGTTCATAAGGGGAGATGCGTTCGGACAGGTAAGTTGGGCCAGAACCGTTTAGGGCTTTATAGGCTAAAGCGAGCACTTTGAATTGTGTCCAGTAGCAAAATGGCAGCCAGTGGAGCTGGCAGAACAGAGGAGTTGTATGCTCCCTGAGCTCCACTCCTGTTAGTAATCTGGCTGTCGTCCGTTGGACCAACTGAAGCTTCTGAACAGTCTTCAAAGGCAACCCCACGTAGAGCGCATTGCAGTAGTCTATACAGGATGTAACCAGAGAGTGGACTACCGTGGCCAAGTCAGACTTCTCAAGGTATGGGCGCAGCTGGCACACAAGTTTTAACTGTGCAAATGCTCCCCTGAGGTTCCAGGCTCAGCAATGAGTCCAGGATCACACCCAAGCTGCGAACTTGCGTCTTCAGGGGGAGTGTAACCCCTGATAGACTTCACAAGCTAGCTGGCATTGCCCCCCCCCCCAGCTCCAATGTGCAACGGGAAGTTGCTGCCAATTGCGAGAGAAATAAGGTTGAACACTGTGAAAACCACTCACTGTATGGATTGCAGCCTCCTCCTAGACTCAAATCTAGGAAAAGTTTCATGAGAACCAGTTTTCTTAATGTTTCGCCAACAACAGCAAGAATATCCATGTGGGCAGAAAAATCAAGCAATTCTAACTGGACCCCTACAAGTGTCTTCCTCTAGGAGCAAACCAAGAATGGGCAACTTAGAAGTTCCTCAGAAGTGGAGTTGGCAGATCAAAAGACAACTTTGCAAAGTGGCACTACCTAGAAGTATCATGCACTTTGTGCGACTGTGGAACAGAACAAACAACTCAGCATCTGTATGCTTGCTCACAATGCCCTGCTTCATGCGCAGAGGAAGAACTGTTTAAAGCTACACACAATGCAGTCGCTGTTGCCCCTTTTTGTTCTAAAATTATTTAGCTGCTTGTGCTCCGTTCATTTTTTTAGTTTTAAACTTATTTATTTATGCAATGCTTTTGACACAAAATACATAAATGCTTGATAATCTTTTTTGTTAGCTTTAAATGCCAACAATTTGATCTTCTAAAGAATTAACAATTTTATTTCATTGATTGAAGTCCCAGATCTGTATGATTTCAAACATTTGCCTGATCTATGCTAATTAGCTATTTGTCTTCAGTTTAAACAGCTCATTGCAGCAAAGATTAATGGGTTTTGTTCAAAAGTACATGGAGGTCGCTGTATTTCCATAAGGGAAAATACTTAACTGATAGATTAATACATATTGCTTTCTTTGTTTGTTTGAAGCTGGACCTGTGATCTACAGAATGCTGACCTATCCTCCAACTCGAAGAGAGTTGATTGTGGGCTGTGGTCTACAAATGTTCCAACAGCTGGCAGGTATTAACACAGTCATGTATGTATCATTTTTTAAAAAACATTTTTTGATATTAGACTGCACTTTTAAGTTCAACAGAAGATAAATATTTTATAAACTCATTCTGTTTTTGGATACAACAGTATAAGGAGTACATGTAAATAAATGTTTCTTCTGCAATATTGCATGAAAATCACAAATAGCATTACTTCCTTTAAGTGAAGATATTTGACTTTTTGTGTCTGGTTGATGTGTTCAAGACCAGAAATACAGGCTCATAGTTAGCAAAGTAGGATTTGGACTTTTTTAGCATTAATAGAGCCTATTACACTTTATTGTCTCAGAATCAGGCTTGCTCTCAGCCTATTAGTTGTTGGGAATCATTTTACTTCTTAAGATGTTAGCAGTTTTAATTTTTTTATTCTGTTTAAATTCATATTATGTGATTATGTCTGTTAGGGTTAAGTTTTATTCATTTATTTATTTTGTTAATTGGGTTGTTGTAAGTTTTTTCGGGCTGTATGGCCATGGTCTAGAGGCATTCTCCCCTGACGTTTCGCCTGCATCTATGGCAAGTATAATAACTCCTCTTAATGGCCGTCTGGGCAGGGGGTCAAACAAACCCACCACTGCCCCACCAATTATAATAACTAGGCAGATGGCAATACGATCAATCCCACCATCTAACCCCAATTATAAAGGCAGGCTTTATGGCCAAACAATATGACTGGACAGGGGGCAAACAGATCCCAACCACTGTCCTTCCTTTGATAAAGAATTCACACCACTTTGGCACTTAGATAACACCTGAGGGGATGTCTCTTTATTTAAACCTTCGCTGCCACCATAAGTATAAATGAACAGGAACCCTCTAGCTATTTAAGATGTTAAAAAGGTTGTTTAAAACACCACCAAGTACTGTCTTTTAAAAGGGTTTCTTTGTAGGAAAACAGATGAGGTTGATTTTAAAAAGAAAAGGGACTAAATCCACAAATGGCACGTGACTCAGGCTTAAGTTTCAAAAATAACAAGGAAAGTTTATTGAAGTTAAAGTTACAGAATGAAGAGAATGCAGTTTCATAAGCTTGGCTGTTACAAATAAAGTGTTCTTGTTCTTAAAAAGCGTAACGGTTGCATGAGAGAACGGTTCTATCTTTGTTACAGTTCCTATACAAAACCCAGCTATTTCTTCTCTAAAATAGCTGTAACCAGTCTGCCACAGCCTACTTTGCTGTGCAAACTTCAGGCAAACTGCCTATTCTTAACAGAGACTCCTAAAACTGTAATCCTACTCTAACATCACCCAGAACTGAACTGAACTGACTAAATAAGCTTCTTACTTTCCCTCCAACAGTCTAACTCCGCCCCCCTTTTACAAACCAATCCTGGCTGTTTCAGGGCTGGCTCAGGCCTAGGCCACTCCCCCTCTCTGAACTGGAGCTTTCCCTAAACTAAGATGGCTCCGGCCGCCCTCTGCCAGGCCCTCTAAGCTGAAACTACCTAGCCTGTCTCTTCTAGGCCCTGCCACCCTGGCTGGCAAGGTAAGGGATCTTCACAGCAAGCATCCTCAGAGGTAGTGAGGTCTGTTGGAATTAGGAAAAAGGGGTTTATATATCTGTGGAATGACCAGGGTGAGACAAAGGACTCTTGTCTGCTGGATCTAGGTGTGAATGTTTCAACTGACCACCTTGATTAGCATACAATGGGCTGACTGAGCCTGGAGCAAACTTTTGTTGAGAGGTGATTAGATGCCCTTGTTTGCTTCCTCTCTGTTGTGCTGTTGCAATTTTAGAGTTTTTTAATACTGGTAGCCAAATTTTGTTCATTTTCATGGTTTCCTCCTTTCTGTTGAAATTATCCACATGCTTGTGTATTTCAATGGCTTCTCTGTGTATTCTGACATGGTGGTTGTGAGAGTGGTCCAGCATTTCTGTGTTCTCAAATAAAATGCTGTGTCCAGGTTGGTTCATCAGGTGCTCTGCTATGGCTGATTTCTCTGGTTGAAGAACCCCTCTCCGAACCCCACCTCCTTCAAGATGAACTGAACCACCTCAACTGGGCTCTACAGGCCAATGGATACTCCACCTCGGACATCAGAAGAGCGGCAAGACCAAGAACAAGCCACGAGAGTCAAGATGAAGATCCACCCAGAGGAAAAGTGTTCCTGCCATACATCAAGGGAACCACTGACCGCATAGGGAAGCTGATGAGGAAACACAACATACAAACAATCTACAAACCCACCAAGAAAATCCAACAAATGCTACGTTCAGCAAAGGACAAGAGGGATCCTCTCACCTCTGCAGGAGTCTATGCAGCTGTGGACAAGTCTACATAGGGACCATCAAACGCAGCATTGCCCAGACACAAATCAAGGAACATGAAAGGCACTGCAGACTGCTTCAACCAGAGAAGTCAGCCATAGCAGAGCACCTGATGAGCCAACCTGGACACAGCATTTTATTCGAGAACACTGAAATGCTGGACCACTCTCACAACCACCATGTCAGACTACACAGAGAAGCCATTGAAATACACAAGGATGTGGACAATTTCAACAGAAAGGAGGAAACCATGAAAATGAACAAAATCTGGCTACCAGTATTAAAAAAAACTCTAAAATTGCAACAGCACAACAACAGAGAGGAAACAAACAAGGGCATCTAATCACCTCTCAACAAAAGTTTGCTCCAGGCACAGTCAGCATTGTATACTAATCAAGGTGGTCAGTTGAAACATTCACACCGAGCTCCAGCAGACAAGAGTCCTTTGTCTCACCCTGGTCATTCCACAGATATATAAACCCCCTTTTCCTAGTTCCAACAGACCTCACTACCTCTGAGGATGCTTGCCATAGATGCAGGCGAAACGGCAGGAGAGAATGCCTCTAGACCATGGCCATACAGTCCGAAAAAACCTACAACAACCCAGTGATTCCGGCCATGAAAGCCTTCGACAATATATTTTGTTAATTTCTTTTTGGTATTAGGTTTATAGTAATGACTGTTCTATTTTATTTGATGTGTATTGCTTTGATGTAACTTGTTAATATGTCTTTTTGCTGGCATTAAATGTTTGTCATATGTGTTGGAAACCACCCTGAGTCTCTTTGGGGAGATAGGGCAGTCTATAAATAAAGTCTTATTATTATTATGCATGACATAAATCTTAAGACCAATTGTAGTTGCTTTTCCAAGTGCACATTTCTTTCAGTTTTTTCCCTGCATTTTTGAGTAATACCAATGCCCACACATGCCTGTCAAAGAGAGTAATATCAACAAATTGATTGGTTCCAAACAATAAAAATATAAATGCAAGTGCTAATAACAAAAAAGGCTGAGGTGGGTGTTACTGGTGAAGGAAGTTGTGTACAGCTTTAATAGGGTACAAATTCCTCAGTTTAAATCTGTAATCTGTTTATAAATACCACATTGTCATATGAAAAATGTGACAAAAATAGCCAGTTTCTTGAGAATTCAACCCTTTAAGGACAAAGATACTACAATTTCAGTGTATTAATTTCAAATAAAGAGGGTTTCATTATCCCTAAAGTTCAGTTGTTGGTAGGTAAAGGTTTTCCCCAGACATTAAGTCCAGTCGTGTCCGACTCTAGGGGTTGGTGCTTATCTCCATTTCTAAGCCAAAGAGCCAGCGTTATCTGTTGACACCTCCAAGGTCATATGGCCAGCATGACTGCATGGACCACTGATACCTTCCCACCGCAGCGATACCTATTGATCTCACGTTTGCATGTTTTTGAACTGCTAGGTTGGCAGAAGCTGGGCTTAACAGTGGGAGCTCATCCCACTCCTTAGATTCGAACTGGCGACCTTTTGGTCAGCAAGTTCAGCAGCTCAGCAGTTTAACCCACTGCGCCATCAGTAACTGCCATCAGCTACTGATGAGAAACTTGCAAATCATCCCATCATCACCCTGTCTTGAAGACTCAGGGCCATGCCTTCAAAAACACAGCTGACTAAGGGCAATGTGTTTCTTCTTCTGAATGCCTGGAGGAATTAATGGGCTGGATTGCTGTGGTATGCCAAGTCCCATAAGATTCAAACGAAATCCTAAGACACATAGACAGTCCAAAGCAAAAGTTCTTGTAGGATTATAGTTTTAGCACACAGTAGCCACTGGGAGTGAGATAAAGCCCAAGTTTCACAGTCCGAATTACCATGGTCAAGCTGAAAGAGTTCCAAAGTCTATGCAGCAACCAACACCAACCCGAATTTCAGTCCTAAGTCAACAAAACTGGCAGTCCAAAAATAGCAAAGTCGAAATCCAAAACACAGCAATCTAAGATACAGTCCAAAATCAACAAGTCTGATAATCCAAAGTCCAGAATTACAGCAAAGACAATGCCACCTTCAGCAAAACTTAACCCTTGAGAACCTTTTATCTGATGTTCTCAGGTCTTGCTTTTGTAGAGTTCATTTTTCTGTGATTTGGGCAGACCTGCAGGTTGCACCGTGCCTTAATCTGTATTCTAAAAGGGATGGAGCCCTTAAGCCTTCATCAACCTGCTGTGATGTACTGCCCTCTGCTTTCTCGGCCTGGTGAGAAGTGGTGGCTATTGCAAAAGGCTCTTCTCCTGCAAAAGCTAAGTTAGGTTGGGAGGACTGCTGGGAGCTACTGGTTTCTAACTCCAACTTTGGCTCTTCCAACAACCCCTCATCCTCGCTGTCAGAACAGTCCAGGACACGGATGAAGAAAAATAAAAACTGAATCCAGATAAGACATAGGTGCTTGCCATTAAGGGTCATAAGGGCTACACTCCCTTTGAAAAACTGTGTTTGCAGCTTGGACATCCGGGTCCATCTCTCCAAATGTCAGCCCATGTATGTCAGCTTTGGCTGATATGAAATTGCTCCCCTTTCTAAAATTGGAAGACCTAAAAACAGTAGTGCACACACTGGCAACATCAAAGTTGAAATTCTACAATGCGCTATACATTGGCCTATCTTTGTACTAAGTTTGGAAATGTCAGTTAATTCAATACATGGCAGCAAGATTGGTTATAGGTACGTCTAGGAGAG